GCTTCCTTTGCTGCTACGAAATTTTTTTTTTTTTTTTTTTTTTTCATGGAGCCTGCCTGCATCTCCTGTGGCTGGGAGCAACCTGCTGGTGGGGCAAGTGGCCCTTGAGCTGCAAGGGGCCACAGTCCTTCCCTCTGCAGCAGAAGCACACCCTGGGGCTGGCCAGGCGGGGTGCTGGCAGGTGGGTGGGCTTGGGGAAGAGTTGGATCCAGTGAGGTGCTGCCTCTGAGTTAGGGCAGGCCAGGGCCCACTAACATCGTGCCTGGGTGGCCCTGGTACATGCCACTGCCGTGGAGGAAAGCACCAAGACCTGCCCCAGCTCAGGCCATTCAGCCTACCAGCAGCTCACAAGCAGGCTTTGCTGGAAAAAAAAAAAAAGCAGCGAGGGGTCCGATCCTTTTTTTTTTTTTTTTTTTTTTTCATGGAGCTTCCGTGCCTCTCCCACAGCTTGGGGGTGTGCTGCCAGTGGGTCCTGAGCTGCAGGGGGCCCCAATCCTTCCCTCCGCAGCAGGGGGGGTCCCCCGGGGCGGCCCAGCCCTGGGGCTGCCAGGGTGGGTGGCTAGTGGGCAGGTGCTGCTCCAGCTCAGAGGCAGCACCCAGCCCAATCCAACTGTTCCCTGAGCCTGAGCTGGAGCAGCAGCCTCCCACTAGCCACCTGCCTGGGTGGCCCCAGGAGGCCCTGCCACCATGGGGGGAAGGACCAGGGCTCCCTGCAGCTCAGGGGCTTCTTGGCCTGCCAGCAGCTTGCCCCCTGGCCACGGGAGATGTGAGCAGGCTCCGCAAACAAAAAAGAGGGGGGATCAGGCCCCTTGCCACTTCTGCCTTTAACCCACCTCTCCCGTGGCGGGGTTGGGAAGGTGGTGAGCTGTCAAAAGGCTTCAACATTACAAATAGCTATGTTGCAAACTAAACTACATGCAGATATGGTTTAATTTGCAATGTAACAAACTCATTTAAATCGCAGAAAACCCTGTACATGTACAGCGTGATGCAATTAAACTGCAAAAATAGGCAATTTTTGTCATGTGTACAAGTGCCCTGAGAAAGGTGTGTAATAGATTAAATAGAACCTAAGTAGACTTTGCCACCTAAGTGCAAACCTATTTCACCTTGCTCAAGTTCCTGAAAAAAGATTACCTTGTTTAATCTTTGTGATGTACCATCATCTTAGCCTGAAGTCATATTTTGCACAAATGCACCCAGGAACCCACCTTTTATGCTAAAAATGTTGCAGAGGCTCAAGCTGTGTAAAGAGGATCTTATTTAGGTGGCTAAGTCTGCTTAAATGCCAACTAGGTGGAGTAGGATTTGGCTGTATGAAGTTATATCCAGTGACTGTATAGTATAGCCATGATCAGCCTGTGTCAGTCTGAAACCTGGTCTCTTAATATTACCAGAAAGAGATTTAAGAGCGTATGTTTTCTGGGAATCTGAATGCATGCATTAGAGCAGGGATGGACAATTATTTTGGCTAGAGGGCCACTTAATGAGTCTGGGTGAGCTGTCGAGGGCCACAAGGGTAGCCCATGCATTTGACAGGCACCACGCCCCCTGGTTGCCATCTAGGAACTGAGTCCTACCCTTAACCCCTGACCTGTTGATATTGGAAATCCCTGCCTTGGCCCTCCCGGCAAGTACTTCTTTTGAGGGGGGGGGGGGGTTTGCCATCTTCGAATCAGAAAAAAACCCAAATCATATCCTAAAACTCAAACATCTACTATATAACATATTTTAGTTTTTTTCAAAAAATATTTTTGTCCTGATACAATATTTTGTCCAATACAAATTTATTGTATTTTTGTACGCAATATGTTTGCAAAGTGTATATAGAGGTGATTGCACAATAGCTCAAAATAAAGTCTTCCGCTTGTATAGTGTGTGTGGGGTGTGGTGGGGGGGTATGTATGTATGTGGTGTGCACATGGCAGCAAGGAGTGGGATCAGGCTACTGGCTCCATCATGTGGGGCTCCCTCCGGTGATGCATGGCTCTGGCAGAGTCCTGGGAGCTGCACATAAACCAAAGGACGTTCCATGCGATGGAGCTGAGCCGACTGGGCTCCATGCTCCCACCAACCGAGGCCTTGGTGCAGGACCTGTGCTCCTGCCCAGCTGCAGCTTCCTCCCCGCCATCAGCCGCCACTTCCCTACCTGCTGCCTGGAGCACAGCAGCAAGGACAGGAAGAGGAACCACTGGAGGCCGAGGGAAGCTATGTAGTTTCCTGGTGGTTGCAGCAGTGGCAACAGCCGCTTCACCCAGCAGCTGTGCATGCGGGCCAGGGCCAGGCCGGGGCTGGAGCCCTCCCATGGGGAGGGTGGGAGCACAGTGCACTGCCCCAGTGGGAGTGGGCAGGGCTCAGCCCCATGCAGAGTACAGCAGAGGCAGCTGGGGGCCAGGCCGGATACAATTAATTGGTGGGTGCCTGCCCGCAGGCTGGATGAAATCATCTGGTGGACTGAATCCAGCCCGCAGACTGTATTTTGCCTACCCCTGCATTAGAGGTATCTGCATGTGGTGGCTCTATTTAAACAGCCCTGGTGTGGAATGTGAGGTAGTAGCGCATGAGATACTTGATTTTCCATTACAAGTACCTGTCTCTGACAGACTGGCTCACAATCAAGGCCACCATCAACCTCGCTCTCACCTGATGTGCACCCAAGGGCTGGCAGAAGCAGACAAATATTTGCCCCTAGCTAGAACCCCTCGAAACACATGGCTTGAGATTGCTATGACCACCTGCCAACTCCCTCCAGCTGTGTGTGCATGATGGGGAGGCTGCGGAGGAGGGCGGCAGCAGCAGCAGCAAAGAACCTGCAGCATGAGGTTCTGCCCTTCATGCTCCTAGAAAATTACCACCCATCACGCTGGGTTTACAGACTCTGTTTGCTGAGAAGGCCTGGGGGTGCTCTGACGGGCTGGGAGGGGAGAGCAGGCCTTGAACATGGACTTGCACTGTTCATCTGTACTGAGAGAAAAAGCTAATTCTCTGCTTCATTTCCTAACTCCAGGTCCTCCTCTGCTGTTGCCAACCTGCTTGCTATTGTTCACAAAAAAGTGCATTTATCTTTCCTAATGAGTAGTTTACATTTGAGTGAAGGTCATAGAAACAGTTTTTTCATAATGATGAGAATGAGGAGAAGGGGCAGGGTTGGTCGGTGAGCTGGGCCTTGGTAATCCTGGGACTTGACTGGATAGCACCACACTGTGCATTAGAAGGGTGGGATGGGGGGGTTGGGCAAGCCAGCATGGTCCTTGAGGTGATGTCTTGGCCTTATCTGGAGTTCCAGATGTGAAACCGGGCACAGCTAGGCAGTGGGAGTAACTCTTGCTCAGGCACTGCATGAGGGGTCATTTGGGCCATTACCATAACCCAGGGGTGGGGAAAATGGTGGATCCAGCTGGTGGGGCCATGACAGCGGCAGGGCCATGACAGTGCCAGGCCAGGGTTTCCATGGAGACAAGCCCCAGCAGGGCTGGCAGGGCGTGTGGCTAGGTGGGGGGGCTGCTCCAAGGCTAGGATCTTGCAGCGGTGAGTGCAGTCTGGAGCTAGGGCAGAGCTGCGATCCACTGCCTGCCCCTAGCCAGGGTGTGCAGGCAGCAGATCATAGCTCTGCCCTGGAACTGAGCCACGCTGTCAGCGCCACAAGGTACCAGCCCTGGATCAGCTCCTGGCCCAGCTGCACACCCTGCCAGTCTCCACGGAAACCCTAGCCCCATGCTATCACAGCTCTGCCACTCCTGGAGTCTCCATGGAAACTGGTCTCAGTAATGCGGGTAGAGGCTGCTGGGAAATGGAGTTCACTGTGGGCCCAATCTGGCCTGTGGGCTGGACTTTGACCACCTGTCATAACCACTCCTCAACTGAAGAGTGAGGAGTGGTGCGGCCAGGAGTAGTCTGGACCACATCATGAGTGACTACAAAGCTCTGGGGGCGGGCTTAGGAAGTTGGGGGCACAGGTGGTCTTGTCATCAGTCCTCCTGGTCAGCGGTCGTCATCAATACCAAGATGCCTGCATCAAAGAAGTCAACCTGCGGCTCTGGAGTTGGTGCCATCGTGTGGGTTTTGGCTTCTACAACCACAATCCGCACTTCCATGAGAGGTATTCTGAGATGAGATGGTCTTCATCTTTCTTCTAAAGGTAAGAGTCTGGTCTCTTACAGGTTGGCTGATCTCCGCTGAAGGGCTTGAAACTAGGTTCGTCGGGAGACAGGGATGCAGTGGACGACGAGAACCACGAGCCATGCGGTGGATCGGCCCAGGGAAGCACTAAGGGGCCTGATAGACATTGGGACAGAGGGGTACCAAGGGCACCCACTGCAGGGCTTATATGTCTCTATGCTAATGCTAGGAGCAAGCAGGAGGAACTTGCACTCCTGCTTGCAGGCAGCAACTTCGACCTGGTTGGGCTAACTGAAACCTGGTGGGACCCTACTCATGAGTGGGCGGTAGGCATTGAAGGTTATAGGTTGCACAGATGGGATAGAGTGGGGAAAAGGGTAAGGGGGTGTTACTCTCTATGTTAAGGAGCTATATACATATTCTATAATCAAGATGGGATCAGAGGAGGGCCAAACCGAGGTATTGTGGGTTAGGATAAAAGGGAGGCAAGGGGAAAGGGACTTGGTAGTGGAGTTCTACTATAGACCGCTACACCAGGAGGATGAACTTGACCTGGAATTCTCCAGGCAGCTCTCAGAGGCCGTACGGTCAAGAGATACGGTTGTCATGGGTGACCTAAACTACCCTGACATCTGCTGGGAGGATCAGTCATCCAGAACTAATCACTCACGTAGGTTCTTAACCTGCATACAGGACCTCCACCTAACGCAGGAGGTACATGATCCCGCTAGGGGAAATGCCTTGCTGGACTTGGTCCTGGCTATGGGGGATGACCTGGTGGGGAATCTGTAAGTACAAGGCAACCTAGGGGATAGTGACCATCAATTGATTGAATTCACTATCT